AATTAGTTGTACCTGGCACAATAGTTCAGCACCGAATATTGCTAAATCAATCTACAAAATAAAGTTCAATTACTTTGATAAGTAAAAATAAGAGAATTGAAATCAAATAACATAAAAAGAAACCAATTTATGACATTTGAGATGAATTCACAGTCACGATCAAATACGAAGAGTTAGAACCAAAAAAAAAACTAAAAACCCAAAATTTGGCATGATATGAACCAGGAGAATTCTGGCTAAAAAAGGAGCAGCAATTCCGACAAATCCATTACTTGAACTAGTATTGAGAAGAACTATGCTAGTCATACTCTTGCCAAATAGCCACTGCCATGTACCTGCTTCATTTTCGAGGTCGTAAACATTCTTCATTTGTATGCACCCATGCATGTAACACATGGAACCAACAGGCCAATCAAATTCCACACACATTGGAGTGGAAAGAATAAATAAAAAAATGGTTTAGAATGTAAAAAAAGATGATGCAATCAAAACAATATGAGATAGCTTTAAAATAGTAGACATAATTTATTCTACAACTAGCAACCTCTGGTAAGAATTTATTGATCCTTGGAAAGCTCCCCAAGTCTCAACCTATAGACAAATTAGTATATCATTCCTAACTCAGCCAATTCCTACTTACCAAATATAGCCTAGAGTATTATTGATCACCAACTCAATCAATGTCCTTCCCATCCAACGTAAAAAAACTACCACATGCTCCAAGTCTCACACTCTGAGACCTGAGGCCATAATTCGATATCAACCTAATTTTTTGATTGAACAATCTACTTGGTAAACCCTACAAGATGAACTATTCAGATTATCAAAATGAGACTGAGGTGCTCTCACAACCCCTTCAACTGGCTCTTTTTATCCTTTCAGCCTTTTTTTTTCTTTTTCCTTTTTTTTTTTTTTTTGTGCAGCAATAGAATAGCCTCGCACTTTAATAAACAAATGAACCAAACAAACCATATACCTGTGGCTATGTATGGCTGTGTGAAGACAAATGCTCAACTACCTCCATCCTGCATAGTAATGCCTGAAACTTAGCAGGAATAAAGATATTCCAACTAGGTGCCATGGATTGGGGCTAAAAGCAGGATCTGTTTCTACTCTCAGTCCCTATTTAGATGCAATCCAGCATAAAGAAAACAACCACATTTAACTGAATAATATTTTCCCTTGCTTTTATAATTCCAATTTCCAAAAGAATTGTCAGACATCTGTTCCTTATATGCAATTATGCATTCTTTCTGTTCAGAAAGCTTCAACATGAAAAATATAGATGTACATCTACTTGTTTGCTTACATAATTTCATAGATTTAATCCCAACTAACTACTACCACGACACTAATACACAATGATTAGTAACAAAATCACAAAAAAAAATCATAAGAAAATCACAATTCATAACACAATCACAATAATTCGTAACTAAAAAAATTTATGATGCATGCTTCTTTTACCACCATAACCCACTCTTCCTTCCCCACTATAGACCACAATGATTGGTAACAAAATTTGGAGAGATAAAAATTCATAACATAATCCTAAGGGTTTGTAATTAAGATTTTTTTTATTTATTTTATGGTGCACCCTTCATAAGTATTGGGGAGCGAGCTTGCACTGGCTGCTATTCAAGATCAAGACAAAGCTAGATTTATAAATGAAGATATGAATCAAGATCTAGGAAAAGGAAACATTTATCCCACAGGAAAGAATTAAGTCAATAAAGAGAATTAAGATGCCTCTTTACAAAGTTGGAAGTGATATCATATCACTCAACCTTAGGAATGTGATGAGAATACCACACAGTTGCATCAGTTGCTATTATAAACAATGAGAACTGAAATAGTTGGCTTAATCTACAACCATACCCAAAGCCATCTCAACAAGAAGTAAAATAACTAGAGCAAGGAGCCATGCCTGCATAATCAAGATAGTTAACTATGTCGAAATTAAAAGACATTGAAATGAAAATTAAATAAGAAAAAAGAAAATAGCAATTAAAGAATAAAAGAACCACTCAATTGCTTTCTCATAAATTTCTTGTCAGTAAAAGACTTCCAAACAACATAGCTCTTATTGGTCAATCAAATCTTCAAAAAATTGCTCAAAGAAATTAGTAAATGGAAATTTTTGAAGCCTTGTAAGCGTATTGATGGTTACTTGTATTCTTGCAAGAATTTAGGAGAGAAAGAGAGTTACTTGTATTCTTGACAGTTACTTGTATTCTTGACAGTTACTTGTATTCTTGACAGTTACTTGTATTCTTGACAGTTACTTGTATTCTTGACAGTTACTTGTATTCTTGACAGTTACTTGTATTCTTGACAGTTACTTGTATTCTTGACAGTTACTTGTATTCTTGACAGTTACTTGTATTCTTGAATCTCCATCCCCATGGAGTCTATGATTCGATCTCTATAATCCTTTTCCAGAAGAAAGTGATGAGAAGAACCTCCAGCGAAGGGTAATCGATGCTCGACGGATTCAGGAGTCCAGTTATTGTTTCTAGTTTGTTCTTCCAGAACAGTTAGGAGTGCCAAACCATTGTCCTTCGTCTTCTCCGTCTGTAGAGTATGTGTTAAAGACAAAACGTCCTCAATCCCCATCGTCGGAACTGAGTGCAGAGCTTAGAAATGAAGTGATCCATGCTCACCGCACCAATTGTGCGTACCGGATTCCGCACTAGATGAAAGTGGATCGGGGCCTCGCACTTGGTTGGACTATCCAGGGACTGAGGTTCCTACCACGAGAAACACCATTAGAGCTGCCCGGCCGGGGTTGGCCAGATAACCCCTCCGGTGTGGGAATTAGTGATCGAAGAAGAAGTGTATATAGAGTTGAGTCTATCTCTCAGTGTGATTTTGCTTGGAATAGTTCAGTTACCTTCAATGTGAAGTTCATATATAGTATATATAGGGTTCCTTGCTTGCTTCTCAAGATGGGTTCATAGAGCTTGGATGCTGCCAGGTGTGCTTTTAGCATTAGTCAAGGTGGGGGACCACCTGGTAGTTGTCATTGAATTCATATACTCATTGTAGTCATGCTGATAACAAACCACATTCCTTTGGTTCAACAACTTTCGTGATTCTAGGTGTAAGGGACCAACTGAGGTGGCAACTTGCACATGCACACGTTCACAACTTCCACGTTTTCCTGTGAGGTTACCTCTACTCGGTATCTCAGTACCTCGGCTCGGCCTTATCCAAAGCTTCCGTTGGGACGGGCTGGTCTATTCGGATATCTTAGTGTGGGCTCGGCCCACATCTGTTCGGCCCAAAGGTTCAGTCCTGCAGCTCGGCCTAGCCCAGCGTCGCAGCTGGACTAGCCTTTCCACTGCAGGTTGGGTCCAAGTGCTTGAGGACTTGGGTAAACTGTTGATCATGGAGTTGGGCTCAATTGGCTTGCCCATATATTCATCTAATCCATTTTAACTTGGGCTTTATTAGACTGGGTCAGCCCAAGGCTTGGATCCGACCCATTTCATATTCAGCCCCTTCAAATACAAAGCAAAGAGGCGACGAACCTACTGAGCCAGAATGAAGAGGCGATGGTGTAGCACAGCAATGGTAAATGGAAAAATTCCGACGGTCGACAAATATCTATGCGGGCGTGCGATTTTGAGAGGGAGAGAACATCCAATCGTAAGAGAATGGCTATGCAAGGTGAAAATCATGAAGAGAGAATAGGGGTTCTACCTAGCGCCAAAAAAAAAAATAAAAGATGGAAGGTGAATTGGGAGGGAAGGTAAAAAAAACAACGTCCTTGTTTGGTTTAAGTTCAACTTTCTATTTTTTTTTTATTATTATTATTATTATTATTATTATTATTATTATTATTATTATTATTATTATTATGTTTTTTTACTTATTTAACTGCAGTCTTTTGCACCATCTTACTGTTATTTGATTTTCTGCAAATTCACAATATTTCTCATCTAATTGCTATGTTTTCTTTGCAGTGCAATCCATATTTGACATCGTGTTTGCTGAAGAAATATGTTGATCTTCTGCTTCTTGATGATCACAAATCTTGGTTCTGAGAGAGAAAAGACTGATGAATGCTACATGCATTTTGATTTTAGATAACAGAGGATCATCAGTTGTCATTTTTGGCAGCCTTGAAGACACGCTTGGCAAAACCATACAAGAGATGGACAATTTCTTCGTGAGTTTTGATGAATGAGGATGTGTACATTTGCGTTTTTTTGTGTTTTTTTTTTTTTTTTTTTTGATATTTAGTGAATTTTTTAAAGATTTTTTTCACAAAAATTATGCTTTTTAAGTGTATTTATGTTAGGTGTGTCTAAAAATTTTTTAAAAAATGCTTAAAATATTTTAAAAAATCATTAAAAATAAAAAAATACAGAAAATAAGAAAGTAAAATTTTCTAAAAAGTGAATTCTAAAAAGAAAAACCAAACAAACTGTTTGATTTTTTAAATTTTTCACGAAACTAATTTTTAGTCTTTTAAAAGAAATCTAAAACAAGTTTTAGAAAATCAAAACAATCTCAACTTTTGCCGACGAATAACTTTGTCGTCGCTAAATGTTTAATTCTTTGCCAACTTCTTGTCGCCAAAAATAAACAAACTAATAGCAATGCTTATCATGTTGCCAAAAATTAACCTTCGTCGCTAAAATTTTCAAAATTTTGGCGCCAACCAAAAATTTAGGCGCCTAGTGAATATTATACATTTTTAGCAACAATAGTAAATTGCATCATTAAAGGTCTACTTTTACTGACGAAATTGATCAATTTGTCACCAAAAATTTACTTTTTGCTATGAAAAATTGGCATCATCGCCAAAAGTGGTTGCTAAAAGTGCAATTTCTAGTAGTGCCACGTGCATGGAATGCTAGAATTGACAAGTATTTTTATGAGAATGGATTTGAAAAGAGCATGCTTTGTATACGAAGACGGATGCCAATGGAAATGTATTACTTGTGTACCTTTATGTTGATGATTTGATCGTCACGGGGAACAATCCTAAGATGTTCAAAGAATTCAAGATGAGTATGATTCGGAAGTTTGAAATAACAGATATTGGTTTGATGTCTCACTTTCTTTGCATTGAAGTTGTGCAAAGGGAAGATGGAATTTTCATTTCTCAAAATGGCTATGCAAAGGAGATATTCAAAAGATTTGGGATGGAGTCTTGTAATCCGGTAAACACTCCGGTAGAGAGTGGGTTAGAGCTAAGGAAGAGCACCAATGGTGGCAATATAGATCCAACTTACTTTAAAAGTTTGGTTGCAAGTCTCCGGTACCTTACTTGCACTAGACCGGACATATTTTATGGATTTGGGCTGATTAGTAGATATGTGGAAGCATCGAATCAATCACATCTCAATGCGGCAAAGAGGATTTTTCGTTATATCAAAGGTACACTCAATGATGGTTTACTTTATTCATGGACTCATGATTTTGCACTCGTTGGATACTCCGATAGTGATTGGGGAAGAGACTTGGATGAAACAAAAAGTACTTCAAGCTTTGCTTTCTTCTTGGGAAATGCTGCATTCACTTGGTCATCTAAAAAGCAAGCAATATTGTCACTTTGTCTACTTGTGAAGCAGAGTACGTAGCGGCTAATGACACTGTTTGTCATGCCATATGATTAAGGAACCTATTGAAGTACTTGGGATTTCCACAAGAGAGTCCCATAGAGATTTTTGTTGATAATAGATCAGCAATAGCCTTGGAAGGTGTAAGCACATTGACACTCGTTATCTTTTTTTCGGGAACGTATGAAGCAAAAGGAATTTGAGCTAGTTCATTTCAAGTCTTATGATCAAATAGCTAACATTTTTCACAAAGCCTTTAAAGCATGATGTATTCAATAGATTGAAGATGATGCTTGGTATGAAGACTTTTGAACATTGGGTTTAGGGGGGGATGTTAGACATTGTAAACCCATTTTGGGGATTTGGTTACATGTGTATTGGGTCTTTTTTGTAAAATTATTATATTTTTGTACTTGTAAGTAAAAGCTTCTAGAACATTGCATAGGTGAAAATATGTGGCTGAAAAGTGAACACATCAGTTAGTTTTTTAAATAGAAAAAATAGAGACAAAAATTCTCTGTAATGGAGAAGAAAAAATGTGAGAAAAAGGGATTTGTTTGTGTGTTTTGCTATGTACAAGGTTGAAGAGAAAGCTTTTGCTATATACAAGGAGGAGGAGAAAGCTTTGTAAAGATGATTTTTAGTTGAAAAAGTGAAGATTTTTGATGCACAGACAAGTGTTTACTGATGCTTTTATTTTTTGATTATTTGTGCTGAAAGTTGTTTGCTTGAAATTAAAAATCTATGCAGAAAAATTTAGATTGTTGATAGCTGTGTTTGTGCTTTATTTTGGTCCATCTGTAGCATTTTTTTTTTTTTGGTAATGATATTGTGCATGTAATTAATTCCCAAATTTTCCCAACATATATGTTATCAACAAATCAGGTTACATTGCTGCCACTGGCATGATTTTTTTCTAGGATTGAATGGTGTCCTGGTTGTTTGTGAGCTTTTGTTTCTGTTCTTATTGTTATTTCTTATTTTGTTGTTGTTGGTCTCTCACTAACCCTTGGTGATTGTGCTAACAAATGATTGGTAATTCCTCTCGGCACCAACTTAGTTCGGATCGCGTTGTTTTGCTTTGATACTTTTTATTCTTCCTTCTTTTATTGGTATAATTTCATATGTATGTATGTTATTCTTTATCAATAAAGTTCTTTTTCATTGATAAAAGATGAAATAAATTAAAATAAAATAACTCGAGTTCACTCTTGAAAAGAAAGGAATAAATCAAAGCTGCAACAAAACTGTGGTTGTTAAAGGGGGGGGGGAATACTTAGGTTTACGTTTTAAAAGAGGGGAAAATAAATTGACTTAGGTTTTTTTCTTTTCTTTTCTTTTCTTTTCTTTTCTTTTTCAATGAAATTTTTTAATATAATTTGAAAGAATGTTCAATCAGAATACGTCAATAAAGGAAAATTCTATAGTACATTCTATTCAAAAAATGTATGGTACATAGAAAATGAAAGGTTAAGATTGAGACACATCATTAAAAGTGACTCAGTAAACATGTCACTTTTTATAGTTATGTGCTAAAATCATACTTGTTCATAACTGAAATCAAATTGATCATAACTTAGTTATGAGCCACCACTACATATCTCATAACCAACACCATTTGGCTCATAACCAATATCACATATCTCAGAACCACTAATTACATATCTCATAACCGCATCTCATAATTAACACCATTTGCCTCATAAACACACCATTCGGCTCATAACCAATATCACATGTCTCATACCCACCAAACATATCATTCAGCTCATAACCAATATCACATATCTCATACCCACCAATCACATATCTCATAACCAACACAATTTGACTCATAACCACATCTCATAACCAACGCCATTTAGCTCATAACTAACATCACATATCTTATTACCACTAATCACATATATCATAACCAACACCCTTTGGCTAATAATCGGTCTTTTCTTATTTAATTATTGTATCCGGACTGTTCCGTAGATTCTGTCATTGTATAATGGTTGTTGTTGTTATTCCTTATTTTATCATTTGGAATTATAGGATGTGTTGGGCAGGTTTGTTTCAGGTTGGTTGGGTTTATAATTTTGAGGGCGTTACACCCTTTGGCTAATAATCACACAATTTGCTCATAACCAAACCAAACCAAGCCTTAAGTCTCATCAAATGGGGTCGGCTACATGAATCCTCCTTCTTCAATCGGCCTTGTCAAAGGCCATTTCATTAGTCAAATTAAGTAGATCCATATCTCTATTTACTACGCTAATTAACGTTAATCTAGGCCTACCACGCGCCCTAACACTTCTATCTACCGTTACAACATCTCATCTCTTTATTACTGCCTCTGTTGGTCTCCGTCGAATATGACTAAACCATCTCAATCAATTTTTTCTCAACTTATCTTTTATCGGTGCTACTCCCACCCATTCCCGAATACACTCATTCCTAATTCTATCTTGTCTAGTCTTGCCACACATCCACCTTAGCATCCTCATGTCAGCCACACTCATCTTATCTACATGTTGTTTCTTGGTTGCCCAACACTTTGTCCCATACAACATATGTGGTCTAATAGCCATTCTATAGAACTTACCTTTTAGTCTAGTGGGTATTCGCTTATCGCACAATACCCCAAACGCACTTCTCTACTCACACCATCCTGCCTTAATCTTATGGGCCACATCCGCATCAATCTCCCCCGCTGTTGTGATAATCAATCCTAAATAACAAAAATGTTCACTCTTAGGCAGTTCTTAATTCTCAATCTTCACCTCTCCTCTACTTTCATTGTTACTGTTACTAAATTTATACTCCATGTACTCTGTCTTAGTTCTACTTATCTGGAATCCTTTAGATTCAAGAGCCACTACAAGAAAAAACACCTTTAGTGACCACCTATTTTTAGTTGGTCACAAAAAGTATGGTAATCTGCCACCAAAATTTATTTTGGTCACGGATGATGGTGTTTTAGTGACCAACATTTTTTGGGTGGCTAATAGTTAAGTATTTGTGACCAAATACAAAATGTGGTCGCCAAAAGTGATGGCGGGAGCGCGAAATAAAAAGGGCGGGACATCAATCTTTTGGCCACCAGTAGATTTTGGTCACAAAAAGGAAAAATGATACACACTACGTCGTTTTGAAATTCTTAATAAAAAAATATGTTTCTGAGCCTTGATCTTCCCTCATTGTTGCCCTCTTCCTTCCCTCATTGTTGCCCTCTTCCTTAATAAAAAAAAGTTTCCTATTTCCTTGAGCTTCTGATCGGTTCATCAAACCCTACCCACCATCTCCTCACTTCGTCCCCTGGGTTTGCCGCTCTTCATCTTCGCCTCCACCTTGTACTTACCAGGTTAGTGTCTCTCTCTCTCTCAATCTCTCTCTCTGTTCATGTATATATATAATCGATCGATGTCTATATCTATATCTCACTTCCGATCTGTTCATGTCTATATCTATAATCGATCGATGTTTCTTTTTCATCGTTGCAACTCCTCACTTCCGATCTGTTCATGTCTATATCTATGTCTATGTCTATATCTATAACTCTATTATTTGAGTTTCATATATACTTGCTGATTTTTTTTTTTAATCTCTATCATTTGATTTTCATACATAGAATTTCTGATTGATTTGTAATCGATCTGTGCTTCTCTCTCATTTTTCTTTGATTTTCATACTTTCTTTTTTTTCTGAAAATTTTCTCCTCTGTTTGTTATTTTTTTCTTTTTTCTTTTTGAAACAATTTTAATTTTTGAGTTAATTACACTTTTCACCTTCTAGTTTGATCTAAATTTTACTTTAGTTCCTATAATTTCAATTTGAACAATTTGGTCTTTATATTTTAAATTTAGCTTCAATTTGGTCCTTTTGTCTTAATTGGAGGTTTTAACAATTTTAGAATACTTGTCAACTTTTTAATGTTTCAATTTGGTTGTTCCATCTAAATTAGATGTTAAAATTAACAAATTTGAGACCCTTGCTAATTTTTTATTTTTTCAATTTGACTCTTCTCTTCCATCTAAATTGAAAGTTAAAATTAATAATTTTGGGACACTTGTTAATTTTCTAAGGTGTATACGTAGACAAAATTAACAAAAATTTAGATAGGATAACCGAACTAGACTTAAATTATAGAGAACAAATTATTCAAATTAAAACAATAGAGGAGACTAAAGTGAAATTTGGGTAAAACTGCAGCGTAAAAAGTGTAATTAACCCTTAATTTTTTAGAAAGGATAAAGAATTTATTTGACGAATTATTTTTAAAAAACACCTATGATATTCATTTTTTAAGAAGCACAAAAAAGTTAGGAAAGCAAATTTTGTACAAAAATAAAAATGATAAGAAAATAATGGAGTTTTTTGAAATTATTTTTGTTATTTTTTTATTCCAAAAATATGAAAAACAAAAACAAAATAAATGAAAACACTGCCAAACAAACTCGAATTATTGGTGGGAATTTTCCCTTACTCTATATGTCTTAACACCTAGTACCAGATGGGGCAGTGGTCGATTATACCTAAAATTGGTTATAATCAATAACTTAGATAATTAGTTTAAATCCAACTGTTGAAAATAGAGAGGTGTGAACCATTTGATCATAAGTCTGTAATCAATATTTTTATAGAAAGCACCCAAATAAATAGTATTTAATTTTGATTTGACAATTTAATATAAACTCGTTCTAAACTCGACTTGTTAATTGATGGTTTTTTTGATTTTTGATGTGGTGAATTTATTGTAAGGATGGATGGTTATTTTGGGCATGTAATGTGTTGATATTGACAGGTGGTTGTAAATATATTAATTATTATTTTGACTTCATAATTGATGGTTTTTTTTTTTTTAGATTAGATTGGTATATTAATTGCAAATGTATTATAGGTATTACAGGTATTACAAAAAATTTAGCATTATATTTAAAAGAATCAATTTTGAAATTAAAAGTTTTTTTGCGACCAATATGTTTTTAGTCGCAATAAGGTTCTAGGAATTGCTAAATACACCCTTTCTGTGACCA